ATTCACATAATATTAGTAATAAAATTAATAATAATTTTTATGATTTTTAATATTAATTAATATAAAAAATATATAATTATACTTCAAATTTGTAAAAAAAACCTATTAATTAATTATTAAGAGAGAAATAAATGAAAAAAGTATTGACATGTGTCAAATTTTTATGCAATGGTTAATTTGTGGTTTTTTGATACATTACAAAACTTTCTCTATTTAGTAAACTTTTTTTTCTATTATTTCCTATATTATTGTTTAATGAGATGAGTAGTTGCAAAAGTCAAAAAATTCAGCCTAAAAGAGAAAATTCAAATCCAAAAGGTTTAATTACTAGAAATAAGGATTTAACGGAATAAGTAGGGATTTTGATTGAATAAAAAGTGACTTGATCAAATTACTTCATTAAATTGTTAATACGAATATACACTGTATGAAATAATAATTCGTATAAAATTTCATTTTGGTAGAAAATGTTGGATAATTTTGGTCAAAAAATTTGACTGAAAATGTTATTGGGAAATCTTTTATTTTAAATTATTTTGATCAAAATATTTAACTAAAATATTATTTTCAAATTAAAAAAATTAATATATTTGTGTAATTATAGTATACATATAATTGCTTTTTTATATAATTACAAAATATATTTAATTAATATATAAAAATCTATTTATTTTATCCAAATTCAAATATATCAAAATTTTAAATTGAATATAATACAACAAAAATCAAAATTCTATAAAAATATTTAAATTTAAGTTAAATGGTGAAGAGTTAATTACTAACTCTTTTTTTTTTTTTAGTTTCTCCATCCCTTAACACCAAAAAATAGTTAATCACAAATTACAAACTAAATGGGAAACTTAATGAAAAAGAAATTATAAAATCTTAATGAAAATATATATAAAAAAAAGTACCAAATGAGATGCCTCCTTAAAATGCCTTTAATTTCTATATTAAAATCTTGCAAAAAATAAAATTGATATCAATATTAATTTAAACAAACTTGTAAATTGTAAACGAAATAAACTAGTAAAATTAAAATTAAAGGAAGAAAGAAAATGAGAGAAATTAAAGGAAGGAATGTATGAGGAAAAAAGAATGTGAGAAAATGGAAGAGAGGATGAGGGGAATGAATGAAAGAAAAGGGAAAGTGAAGAAAGGAGAACATGAGAAAAAGGAAGAAATGAAAGAAAATGATGGAAGAAAAGAGAAATGAGAAGGGGAAGTAATTAAAAGGAAGAGAAAGATGAGAAAGATGAGTGTGGAAGGCAAAATGAAGGGAAAAGCAAAAAGAAGGAAAATGGGTAAAATTCAGTTCAAAGTACTTGAACTATTTTTATAGGGTTTAGACTATTTCGGTCAAAATTTTTATAGGGTTTTGGTGGACAATTCAAAATGTTTTACTTGATTTGTGGAGCCAAAACATTAATTCAGATAAAAATTTTGACCAAAATAATTTTGGCAAAAAATTCAAGAAATTTCACTTAGTTCTTGAAGCCAAAACAATATAATTTCGGTTTAGGATTTTGCTCGAAATAGTTTTCATAGAAAATTAAAAAAATTTAGGAAAGAAAGTGCTATATTAATATAATTAAAAAAAATGGAGACAGTTATTTTAGTCAAGATGCTTGACCAAAATAGTTTTATAGAAAATTTAAAAAAATTAAGAAAGAAAGCGTTACACTAATATAAATTTAAAAAAAAAAGAAAAAAAAATAGAGTTATTTCAGTTAAGATGCTTGACCAAATTAATTTTATAGAAAATTTTAAAAAAATTAGGAAAGAAAGTATCATTGTCACGCCCCAAAACCAAGAGCAAAACAGACGTTGTGCACTCGGAAACGGGTCCCACCATGCACAAGACTCAAAACTTACTGAGTTCATAATTATTAATTCAGATAATTCAGATTTAAAAACTCAGGTAATATCTAATTTCTTTTTTTTTTCTAAATATTTACTCGTCAAAATGTACAAAGATTTATAACTTCATCTATACAATCATTTCTATAACTAAAGGAGCTCTGTACACAAAAATTCCTAAGTCAGCATGGGTGATTAGTGGCCTAGCTACAAAAACTTAAGTCCAAAAAAATGCCTAGCCGTCTAGCTCGTCACTCCCCCGGACTCCCCATGCGTCGGGTCTCACTACCTGAAATGGCGGACAAGGAAAATTATGAGATAAAATATCTCAGTAAGTAAATATGAATGCCCAAGATCAAAATTTAAACCATGCCAAATAAACAGTTTAAACATAAACAGAGCGTCTCAATAACAAACCATTAATGCAGAATAAAATTAAATAGTGGTCTCCTCTATTAGTCATGACCAGTGTTATAAACCTCCCACTGGCAGGCACACGATTACTAGTGTATAATCCCACTAGTAGGATAACACGAGCGAACCGGTTCTATCAATAACATGTCGACATGTGCTAGCGTTTATAAACCTGCCACTAACGGGCACACGAATAATATGACCATATCGGAGACAAAACCAAGCAAGATTTACAAAAAAATTTCATGATTCACAATCGTTCTCACTTTCAAGAATAAACCGAAGAAATCTCATGTGGGTATGCTCAATTCTAGAAAATAAGGAAAATGATAAAAGTTCAATTTCCATTTAATCATGCTCAAATGCAAATAAACCCATTTAAACCTTGCCACCGTCTCAAAAACAAGTTAAAATATGCTTGAAAATTTAAGGGCATTACCATAATTTACTTACCTTAATCGCACAGGACAGAAGGCTTAACCAAGTGCTAGGGTCACTTGGGTCACAGGACGATTAAGAACTTAATCACAATATTTTCGAATTAATATCTATAAAGAAATTTTATTTATTTATTTATTTTTATTTTTCTCCTATCCGAAATTTGAGCACACAACAGTAGATTGCACATATATATATATATACATAGTTACACATATACAATTTTTCCAAATTCATGGACAGGAAATGGGAGAACCGGCTTTGACAAAAAAATGGGCAAGTCACGGAATTTTCCTCTTTTTCTTTCATACATCATCACAGCGGCCCAATTAAAGGATTTCCTACATAAATTGACTTAAAACTCATTGCAAGGCTACCGGAATTCATCCCCTATTTCCAGCAGATTTTCGGATAACCCAGCACCCATACAACCACTTAAACTCACAAAGGCAGCAATTAATCACCCAATTTTCGAAAATTAGAGAAGCCAACCTACCAGAAATCCTCAGCAAGCAAGGCTGGAGCTGGCGGATATAGGGGAAGAGCTGGCGGAAAATTGGGGGGCTTCCACGGGAACCACTAGCAATTGAAAGAAATGAAAATTAGAGTGAACCCACATACATCAAGGCTGAAAAGAGGAGTTTCATGGCTGATTTTTACCAGGAAAACCGAAGCTCACACCCAGCAGCAACTGGCGGCAGGGGAGGAAGAAGACAGTAGATTTGGGGAATTTTCTGCAAGGGGGAAGATTTCTAAGTCCTAGACTTGTTCTTGAACAAGAAGAGAACAAAAATCATCAAGTTCTCTTACCAATTTCTCAGGTGGAGGCGTCGGAAATGGTTGGTTTATGTCCGGCGGCAGGGGAGAAAAGAGACAGAGCAAACACGCGAAAATGGCCGGGGAAGAAGGAAAGAAAGAAAAAAAGAAAAAAAAGGAGAGGTCAGCCGGCCTTATCCAATAATCTTTTAAACCCTTTGGAATTTGAAATTTTGACTATTAGGTCCATTAATAACGTTTCCTCACCATTAAGTCCCTAACTCAACTTTAATGTTCTTGAAATTTTGGGGTATTACATCCACCTCTCCTAAAAAGGAGTTTAGTCCCCTAAACTCATACCTCAATCTTGGAAGAGGTGCGGATGTTCCTGCCTCATCTTGGATTCCAACTCCCAAGTAGCTTCTTCAACCGAATGGTTATCCCAGAGGACCTTAACAAAACGAATGGTCTTTCTCCACATTATCCTTTCCTTGAAATCTAAAATGCGAATCGGGTGCTTGTCATAAGTGAGATCCTCCCGAAGTTGAATTGGTTCGGGATTAATGATGTGACTCGGGTCGAGAACATACTTCTGAAGTAAGGACACCTGAAACACATACCTTCTCAATTTCCAGGCAACTCCAATCTATAAGCTACCTTGCCAATCCTTTCCAAGATAGGATATGGTCCAATATACCTCAGACTCAATTTTCCCCGGATGCCAAACCTGAGGACACCTCGAGTGGGTGACACCTTCAAAAATACATGGTCACCAACTTCAAACTCAAGGTCTCGTCTCCTTCTATCCGCATAGCTTTTCTGCCTGCTTTGTGCAGTACGAAGGCGTTCCTTAATCAATTGCACAATCTCAAAAGATTGTTGCACCAATTCTGGGCCTAAAATGCTCATTTCGCCCACTTTTGTCCAACAAATAGGTGATCTACACCTTCGACCATACAAAGCCTCAAACGGTGCCATGCGGATGCTAGATTGATAACTATTATTATACGCAAACTCAGCCATGGATAAGTGTTGATGCCATGAACCCTTCCAATCTAGAACACAAGCCCTCAGCATGTCCTAAAGTATCTGAATAGTTCTCTCAGATTGCCCATCAGTCTGAGGATGGAAGGTCGTGCTGAAATTTAATTGAGTACCAAGTGCTTGCTGCAAGCTTGTCCATAAATGGGATAAAAATATGGTATCTCTATCTGACACAATAGACACAGGGACTCCATGCAGCTTGACTATCTCATCCATGTACATATTGGCAAGCTTCTCAATGGAAGTGCCAGTCTGGTAGGGTAAGAAGTGAGTTGATTTGGTCAATCGATCAACGATGACCCAGATGGAATCATTACCCTTTAAGGTTTGTGGTAAGCTGGTTACAAAGTCCATGGTGATGTTCTCCCACTTCCACTGGGGAATAGGTAAAGGCTGCAGTTTCCTAGGAAGTCTCTGGTGTTCAGCCTTAACTTTTTGGCAAGTCAAGCATTGTGAGACAAATCTAGCTATCTCCCTCTTCATGTTCTGCCACCAAAATGTACTACGCAAATCACGATACATCTTGGTGCTACTTGGGTGAATTGTATAACTAGTATAATGGGCATCTCCCATAATCTCATGCCTTAAAGCATGATCTCTTGGTACACACAGCCTATCACCAAACCACAGAGTCTTATCTTCATAAATTCTAAATTCTTGCATGTGGTTTTCCCCGGCTCTTACTTTTTCCTTCATCTTCTGCAAGAAGGGATCTTTTTGTTGGCCAAGTTTAATTCTATCTATTAATGCTGGTTGTGCACTGAGCAGCTAGATAAGCCGTAGTACTGTCCACTCTCAACTTCACATCCAGTTTCACAAGATCCTCAAGTAACTCCTTTTGAGTGTCAAGGATGCTAGAGGCAACGCCAGAGGACTTCCTACTCAACGCATCTGCTACTTTGTTAGCTTTGCCCGAATGGTAGCTAATGGTCAAGTCGTAGTCCTTTAAAAGTTCAAGCCATCGCCTCTACCTCATATTAAGCTTCTTTTGAGTGAAAATATGCTTAAGGCTCTTGTGATCGGTGAAGATTTCACAAGTCTCACCATACAGATAATGCCTCCAGATCTTGAGTGCAAATATTACAACTGCCAACTCTAGATCGTGGGTGGGGTAATTTTCTTCATAAGGCTTTAACTGCCGGAAAGCATATGCAATAACCCTATCTTTTTGCATCAAGACACATCCCAAACCCTTTTTAGAGGCATCACTATATATGGTGAATCCTTCCCCATTGATTGGGAGTGCAAGTACAGGAGCAGTGACCAACTTCTCCTTAAGGGTCAAAAAGCTCTTCTCACACTCTGGAGTCCACTCAAACTTGGTGTCCTTCCTGATAAGACAAGTCATTGGCAGAGCAATTCTAGAAAAATCCCCCACAAATCGACGGTAATAACCAGCCAATCCCAGAAAACTACGGATTTCTACAATGCTATTCTGCCTTTTCCAATCAACCATGGCCTCAATCTTCTGGGGGTCAACAAAGATTCCATCCTTAGTCACAACGTGACCTAGGAATGCAACATTGTCTAGCCAAAATTCACACTTTTTAAATTTAGCAAACAGCCTCTCACCTCTCATTGTCTCGATAACTGTCTTTAAGTGCTTTTCATGAAGAGTGTGGCTAGAAGAATAGATCAAAATGTCATCAATGAAAACAACCACAAACTTATCTAGGTACTTGCTAAACTCCTGATTCATCAAATCCATAAACCTGGCAGGGGCATTTGTCAAGCCAAATGACATGACTATGAATTCATAATGACCATAACGGGTACGGAAGGCAGTCTTTGGCACATCATCCGGTTTAATCTTCAACTAGTGGTAGCCAGATCGAAGATCAATCTTAGAAAATACCTGGGCACCCTTGAGTTGGTCACACAAGTCATCAATTTTAGGAAGGGGATACTGGTTCTTTACAGTCACCTTATTCAGTTCCCGGTAATCAATGCATAGCCTCATGCTCTCATCCTTCTTCTTAACGAACAACACTGGAGCTCCCCAAGGTGACACACTAGGGTGTATAAACCCTTTTTCAAGGAGTTCCTCAAGCTGGACCTTTAACTCCTTCAATTCTATAGGAGCCATACGGTATGGTGCTTTGGAAATAGGTCCGGTGCCAAGAACAAGGTCAATAGCAAATTCAACCTCCTTATCTGGAGGTAAACTTGGGAGATCCTCCGGAAATACATCTGGAAACTCACGCACCACCGGTATGTCTTCTAGTCTCGATGTCACACTACTAGTATCAGTAACAAAGACTAGGAAACCCTGGCAACCATTTACAAGATATTTCTGAGCCTGCAAGACAGATATTAGCATGGGTGGAGCAAAAAAACCACTGCCTTGGAAACTAAATTCTAACTCACCATGAATATTAAAAATTACTCATTTCCAATGGCAGTCTATAGAGGCAAAATGTTTTGACAACCAATCCATCCCTAAAATGATATCAAAATCAGAGATATTTAAAACAAACATACTAGCACTCAACTGTCTACCATCAATATAAATATCCACAGTCCTACACACCTCTCTCGTAGTCATCACCCCTCCTAAAGGGGTGTCCACATGCAGTTCAAGATCAGAGGTATCAATAGGCAAAGCTCGTTTCAAAGCATAAGATCGAGCAATAAAAGAGTGCGATGCACCCGAATCAAATAAAACATGTGTATAATCAAAGTTAACAGGCAAGGTACCCGTGATTATGTCGGTAGTCGCAGCTTCCTTGTGAGTCATCACTTGCACTCTCGCCTGCTGGGCTCTTGTTATAACCCCAATACTCTGTTTCGGTGCCCCCTGACTGGTAGAACTCTGTGGAGAGGTAAGTTGAGTACTCTGAGGTTTGGGGTCTAGCAGTGGACAATTTGTAATTCGATGTCCCTACTTGCCACATTTGAAGCAAGCCTCAGTAACGGTGTGGCACTGATCCCGGGTGTGCCCAACCTTCCCACAAACGTGGCAAATAAGTTGAGTAGGACGAGCACGTTGGGCTGTTGATGCCTGGCTCATAGTCTTGGTGGCTCCTAGCCCTTTAGAACCCTTTTTGATCTCAGACTTAGGCGGTGCAAGGACAAGGGACCGACGGCTCCCATCAAATTTTCTCTTCCCAAAGGATGACCCAACACTATGCTGTCTTGAGGACTTGACTCTAGCCATAGCCTTTTCTTGATCTATGGCTCTGTCCGCAGCCTCTCTATAAGTGGCGGGTTTGAATTGATTCACCACCAGATAAATATCGGGATTCAAGCCCCATAAAAATTTATCAGCCTTGGCTAGCTCATCCCCAACCTGACTACCCACAAAAGGTAGATAGCGGTCAAACTCCTTCTTGTATTGCTCAATAGTACCTTATCCTTGCTTTAGATCTGCAAATTCCCTTCGCAGTTCCCGCCTTTTGCTATCTGGTATGTATTCTTGCATGAACACCTTTTTAAAGCCATCCCAGGTGCTCAATTTAGGCTCTCCTTGGTGTAGCTTCAGATAATTCTCCCACCAAGTTAGTGCTTCACCAATAGGCATATAGCTGCCTACATCGACCTCAAGGTCGTCAGCAATCTTCAGTAGACAGAATCCCCGCTCCACCTTGGTAATCCACGACCCCACCTGCTCAAAACCTGCGGTATCGTCAAATCTCTTGGTCACCACCTTCTGGAATTCTGTATAGATCTTCCAGCTAGACACCGTAGGAGCAGAAGAAATAGGAACAGGGGAAATTGGAGCGGGGGCCATTGGAGTGGAAACCACTTGGGATGGAGGTGGTACACTTGTGGTAGGAGATGCTTGGCGTCATATCTCAACCATAAGTTCCTGAATAAAAGTGGCTATCTGAGGATTACTCGTCCTTCCTTCCTGCGGAGCAGCTTGAGCGGGGGGACTAGCATCTAGGATCGAAGGAGTGCCCTAATCCTTACGGCCACCCCTCGGGCGCCCACACCGTTTTAGGGCCATCTATAACCACATAGAAGGTTTATAGACTATTAATCAAATGCTCCATGAAAAACTTTCCCGGCAAGGTTCCACCCCCAGGACCAAGCAACACAAAAAAATAACAAACAAAGAAAAACCAACACACATTAAGGAAGGAATCAAACAAGCGCCTTTAATCAACCCTACTCATGCCTCACCACGTTCCTATAATATATTGGCTAGCCAAGTTTTAAATTAGTCATCGGCACTTAATTAAACCTAGGCTCTGATACCACCAAATCTGTCACGCCCCAAAACCAAGAGCGAAACAGACGCCGTGCACTCGGGAACGGGTCCCACCATGCACAAGGCTCGAAACTTTCTGAGTTCATAATTATTAATTCAGATAATTTAGATTTAGAAACTCAGGTAATATCTAATTTCTTTTTCTTTCTAAATATTTACTCGTCAAAATGTATAAAGATTTATAACTTCATCTATACAGTCATTTCTATAACTAAAGGAGTTTTGTACACAAAAATTCCTAAGTCAGCATGGCTGACTAGCGGCCTAACCACAAAAACTTAAGTCCAAAAAAATGCCTAGCCGTCTAGCTCGTCACTCCTCCGGACTCCCCATGCGTTGGGTCTCACTACCTGAAATGGCGGACAAGGAAAACTATGAGATAAAATATCTCAATAAGTAAATATGGATGCTCGGAATCAAAATTTAAAGCATGCCAAATAAACAGTTTAAACATAAACAAAGCGTCTCAATAACAAACCATTAATGCAGAATAAAATTAAATAGTGGTCTCCTCTATTAGCCATGACCAGTGTTATAAACCTCCCATTGGGAAGCACACGATTACTAGTGTATAATCCCACTAGTAGGATAACACGAGCGAACCGGTTCTATTAATAACATGTCGACATGTGCTAGCGTTTATAAACCTTCCACTAGCGGGCACACGAATAACATGACTATATCGGAGACAAAACCAAGCAAGATTTACAAAAAAATTTCACGATTCACAATCGTTCTCAATTTCAAGAATAAACCGAAGAAATCTCATGTGGGCATGCTCAATTCTAGAAAATAAGGAAAATGATAAAAGTTCAATTTCCATTTAATCATGCTCAAATGCAAATAAACCCATTTAAACCTTGCCACCATCTCAAAAAAAAATTAAAATATGCTTGAAAATTTAAGGGCATTATCATAATTTACTTACCTTAATCGCGCAGGATAGAAGGCTTAACCAAGTGCTAGGGTCACAGGAAGATCAAGAACCTAATCACAATATTTCTGAATTAATATCTATAAAGAAATTTTATTTCTTTATTTATTTTTATTTTTCTCCTATTCGAAATTTGAGCACACAACAGTAGATTGCGCATATATATATATATATGTACATAGTTACACATACAATTTTTCCAAATTCATGGACAGGAAATGGGAGAACCAGCTTTGACAAAAAAATGAGCAAGTCAAGGAATTTTCCTCTTTTTCTTTCATACATCATCACAGCAGCTCAATTAAAGGATTCCCTACATAAATTGACTTAAAACTCATTGCAAGGCTACCGAAATTCATCCCTTATTTCCAGCAGATTTTCGGACAACCCAGCACCCATACAACCACTTAAACTCACAAAGGCAGCAATTAATCACCCAATTGTCGGAAATTAGAGAAGCCAACCTACCAGAAATCCTTAGCAAGCAAGGCTGGAGCTGGCGGGTATAGGGGAAGAGCTGGCGGAAAATTGGGGGGCTTCCACGGGAACCACTAGCAATTGAAAGAAATGAAAATTAGAGTGAACCCACATACATCAAG